TTGGATTTTTCATTTTTCATAATCAATGTTAAAATGTGCAATGATTTGTGTGAATCTAATTTATTTATTTGTATTTTACTTACTAAAAGTATTAAATTAAATCCCTCTTGTACCTCCGCTAATGTTCCCATATAAATATGCATGGAGTGTAAAGACGCGCTTGTTTAAAAGAAAAAACGAATACAATAAAAAAATCTTTTTTGTTTTATAATCTAAAATTATATCAAAACCTATTATTGTAATTTTTTTTTTATATGGTTTAGATGAAATATATTATTCGTGAAATCAATATGAAAAACCTATTTAGAGTAATCATTGCGATTTTTTTCTATCTAACCAATTATTGAAATGTATGTTTCTGTTCCTAGCAAGCAATCGATACAACCAACCGAACCAAACATTTTTTTTTTTCACAAATAAAAATAAAATAAAATAAAAAAATATATAGGAAGATATGAGATAAATAGTAAATATGTAATTTGTATGTTTTTTAGATACCACACAAGTGCTTTACTTTTTCTGTAAAAAAAAAACAATACAAATAAATTATCGTATATGATTATTGTATATGATTAAATTGTACTATATATTTAAAGTCCAATATTATTAGTGCAATATCTTCCTCGTACATCAATAGTGACATATATAGGTATATATTATATGTCATATGTAGACTTCAGGTAAATAGTACAATAGCAAATTGCTAGTAGTTCTGATTCTATGATTACGTAAAAATTAACAGCATTTTCCTGCTGTACGTTATACAGTGATCATCGCTACCGACTGCGTGTAAATCAAACCGCTGCGCTGCCATCTCGAATTGCTTTCTCGTGCAAAACGAAAGTGCTCACGTGTGGCCCTTCACACGCTGGGCTAAGTTCACGAGCATGAATTATGTTAGTTATTCCAAAGGCAAAAGATAAGCGAGCCGATTTAGTGATTCATCAATTACCGTTGAGTTATAGAAGTCACTCGATGACTTGACTGTACATTTATACCTAAGGAACAGCGTAATGAGACAAAAAGTAGCCAATTTGTTAATTCAGGCTTAATAATTATATCCGTATACCGAATTTCAACAAATTCCGTTCAGTAGATTTTTCGTGGAAGAGTAAAAACCTATCCTCACAAAACATAGATTTGAACATTCTATTTCTATTAGGGTGTTCAAATTAATGTAGTCATCTATATACTAATATTATAAAGAATAACCTTGTTTGGCTGTCCCTTAAAATTTTCGGAAATACTGGTTTATTTCAAGTCGAACTCGTATCGGTAAATGTTTTGAAATTAAATAGTATTCACACGAATCCTTAAAACACAGTCAAACAGAACAAGTTTCATTTTTCTAAAGAGTATCATATACTTTACGTTTGAAAGTCAGAGCAAATTTTGGATAGATAATAGTGTTAGAAAAAAAATATAGAGATAACCTATTTGAATCACGTATCGTCATTAAATTACAAAATCACATTAAAGCCCTAAAATATGTAGTTTTTATTACATGTGCAATCAGTATCTCGAATCACGTTTTATGCTATGATCATTAGTTCATATGGGGCAAGTTATTTTAATGCGTAGAAGCCTTTAAACACAATAAAGAGGCAGCATCGAAGCAGGTCGATCTACTTGCACTCGGTCTGATGCACGCATCTCAGACACACTTCCCACGTGCAAAATTTTAAGACAATACTGAATGCAGTTGACGGGAGAACGTGAGGAACTTCTTATGGGATCCATATGACACCTACATACCAGTAATAAAAGCATGTAATATATTCCACCGTGATTGCATTTGAACTATGTGCTCCATTGGATTATGCGATATATATATACTAATATTAAAAAGAAGTAAGATTTGATTTGATTGTTTACATCGATTGAATCTAAAACTACTGGACAGATAATTTTTATTTTCACCTAATATTAAATAATTCCTTCACCTACGGAACGCTACCTCATACGCGGGTGACATAAGCATTATTTACGCGGATGAAGTTGCGGGAAAACAGCTAGTCAAGTTATAGTAAATTTGGAATCAGCTAAATTTACTGATATAACTTAATGTAAAAAATGGCATTCAAATTTCACCGCCGATATATGTTTTTCTTAAATCTTAGAGCAGGTTATAGTCTTCTTTAACATGTCAACAAACACAACAACAAATAGTACGTATTCCTAAGAATAATAATTAAATATTATAGGAAGAAAATACTATATTTGCTAAATATAAACAGGAGAGAAAACGGCACAAAAAGGACATGTTTAAAGTGCGCTAATGTCCAAAAGCATAATAACCTCGACCTTGTTAGGAATCGCAAACTTCGCGTGACGAAAACAAAAATCCGGTTTCACCCATTTCACGTTCATATATAAACAACTTTCATAGTCCTACTAATTTTTGTCAAAGTATGCAAGGGGGCAGGTTAAGTCGACTTTATTTACTTTAAACAGTTATATAAGAGAAACTTGATAAAGTTTTCTTCATTATTTCATTGTTTTGATGCGTTTGCTTGAGTGGTCATTGGTTCTTAAGAATACGTTTATATGAAGTAGCCTATAGCCTATGAGCTGATAGGCGAAACAATTTTAAAAATCGGCCCCGTAGTGTCAGAGCCTATTCAATGCAGACAAACAAAGCTTGCGTTGTTCTCGTATTCATAAGCTTCTCAAGAAATTTTCTAACTTTACAATTGTAATACACAGTTGGTAACCGAACCCCTTAAGTTCGAATGTGGTATCGAAATTACGAAAATACTTTCTTAGGCGCTTTTCGTCCCTGTTGCGTAAAGCTAAAGAAGAAAATATGAAAAACAAAGATGGAGATGGAGAAAAGCGCGGAGCATAAAAAATATCTTTATTAGTCGAAATTAATGGACTTAATAATTGTAAAATCAAATAATCTCAACCCTTCAATACAAAACAATTCATGTGTTAATTTTCATGATAATAAAAGTATATATGAAAATGTATTATTGCTGAATTTACTTTTCGTCGTCGAACTTTATAAATACTTTGTACGTTTTAGTCCAGTATTAACTATTAACTAGGGCAAATGCCCAATTTAGACATTCAGATAATTCTTTTTTAGGAAAGCGATTTCGTATAATAAATTTTGCACATTTATAATTATCCTCACTTACATTTATAATACCTAGGTAAACATTTTGTAAAGTCATATTAACCAGTCTTGTTGTATTATGAAACCTTCTTTTGGCGATATGTATTTTAAAAACTGTACCTATAAGGTAAAGAACTTTTAATCCAGAATTCCTACATCCGTTGTGAATCGAGGGAAACGGATGTGGACGGCACTTTCACCTGTGCGGACGCAACGCCGTGCACCTGTCGCATGCTCAGTCGTTATAACAGATTCAATTACATGTAGGCACTATTTATATGAACACTAGTAATTGAATGAATTAATGCCATTTTTTTTATTCCTTATAGGGAACTTATTAAAATTTCTCTTCCCAGATATCAAAGTCAAAATAATCTTTATTCAAATAGACTTCTTAAAAGTACTTTTGAATCGTCCAACATTTTTTAAATAAATAAACATACAAGATATTTTTTTTTTCTAATTAAATATCGACGAATCTTTACAGATCATTTGATATAAAAAGCATAACATATCTTAAAGAATGGAAGTTATAAAGGAGATAATTATAAAGAAAAAGTAGCACCTTCATTATAAGTAACAGAACTTGATAATTCTACAATGATTTATAAAAAGTGGACTTCTCTATGAAAGCAACACTAGGCATATGCGTAAACATTCATAATATTCAAATAAGATCCGTTGTGCGTGAAGTAAAATTGTTTATTAAAGACATACCATTTTCTGATCACAGTTTAAGTAAAAGCCGAATGACTACGGTCGTAAAGAAAGCTATTTATCAAAAGAGCATTTTTATAAGCTCCAGTGTTTTCTTCCGCAATTGAAAATCTCGATCAGTGGGTAATTTCTAACCGGTTTAGAAAACGCGAGCTCTACACCCAACACGCAACATTCTAGAGGCGCTCATGTGGTGCGCATAAGTGTCAAATTCGCGTAAATAAACGGCCAGAACGGACCACAAACAACTGCCACTTGCACCTATTCTTGGCTCCGTATATAGACCACATGTTGCAGCTCTCACCCCATATGTTACCATCTGACTGAATATAGAGTTTCCAGTTTTACAACCACTATTTTCCCTGCTGTCCAGTTAAGTGCGTACAGATGAATTAACATATCTTTTCACACAACAGACTCTAATTTAATGAATATTATTTCTCAAATACTCTTCATCGGTAATAAAAATACAGTTCCTGCCTGGGATGATTAATTTTTAGGGTAACATATCCAAAGTGTAAAACGGGACCCTATTTACTAAGATTTCGCTGTCCGTGCGTCTGTCACCTAGATGTATTCAGGCCATAGCTTGACTATGTAGGACACAAAAATACAATTTTTGTATAGTTAAATTCGTCGTTTATCGTAGTAGGATATATTTGATATCCAACCAAATAAATTTTCAAATTAAAATATCATATATGTGACTCTAATAGTTATTATAATTCCCAGTAACCTTTAAAAATAACAAACTCATTGATTTAATTACGTAACATCAACTACGTTTTGATTTTGCAAAGTTTAAAATGTAAGTTTAATAATCTCTCATAATTGCAAAAACATAAAATGCAACTGTCGTGAAAGTAGCTTTGGAACTCGTCTAAACTGTATGATTGCGCTGATTAATATTATAATTGCTTGCGCGGCTATCCATCAGTGTAGAAAGTCGGAAAGAACACTCACACGCATCTCTGAGATGCGGTGCTCGCGCCTAGCTCGCCTGCGCTCAATGGCGTGAAGTAGACTGAGACGGAAGCCAGGAATTTTACGTACACATACTATAATAAGAGTACATTTTCATAAAATTTCAATAATATTTTAACTTTCCATAAAGTATAAGGTTTTAATAAAGAGAACTAACGTATTTTTTCTTTGTTTTCAGGATGCAACATGCGAGCCACCTGTAGATTCAGCATCGTTACCTTTGGAACATCGAGGTGGAGGCGGTTATGGGCCTCCTCTATCACCTGCGCACTCGGACGATCCATGGCCGCTCGCAACGCCAGACAGCCCTAAAATAAAACATCTCCAAGTGCAGTGCGAGAAGACACATATGCGTGTCAACATCGAGTTCGATCGTCCCTTCTACGGCATGATATTTTCCAAAGGATTCTACAGTGACCCCCATTGTATGCATCTTAAACCTGGCACGGGACACCTAAGCGCAACTTTTGAAATCTTCCTAAATAGCTGTGGTATGTCGAGTTCAGCGAATCACAATGTAGCTACTTACGGAAGTCCAACACCCAGCGGCTCATACGTCGAAAACACCATTATTGTCCAATACGACCCCTACGTTCAAGAAGTATGGGATCAAGCACGAAAATTGCGATGCACTTGGTATGACTTCTACGAAAAAGCCGTTACTTTCAGACCGTTCCAAGTTGATATGTTGCATGCAGTTACGGCTAACTTTCTCGGCGACAACTTGCAATGTTGGATGCAAATACAAGTCGGAAAAGGACCTTGGGCGTCAGAGGTATCAGGAATTGTAAAAATAGGACAAACGATGACAATGGTACTTGCAATTAAGGACGACGAAAATAAATTTGATATGCTCGTACGCAACTGTGTAGCTCACGATGGAAAAAGAGCACCGATACAATTGGTCGATCAATATGGTTGCGTTGTCCGACCCAAGATCATGAGTAAGTTCCAGAAAATAAAGAATTTCGGTCCTTCTGCATCAGTTGTTTCTTTCGCTTATTTCCAAGCTTTCAAATTCCCCGACTCGATGAATGTACACTTCCAATGTGTAATTCAAGTATGCAGATACAATTGTCCTGAACCGAAATGCAACCTCGGTGCCGATTACGGTGTTCCTCTTCTTGGTGGCAATTCATTAAGTGCAGGAGATTATGGGGTTCCTAACTCACCACATGCAGAATATGGTCCACCGCCGGCTCCTCATTCGGAATATGGTGTGCCTCCGGCGTTCCCTGACCCACGACATCCAGCGGATGCCACTGGGTCGTTTTCGGAAAAACGCGATGACGCCGTTCCACCACCCCAAGCGCAAGTTTCTTCAACTCCTAACGCACCTAGTCCTTCATCACCAGCTCCTGCTCGCGAAGAAGATGAGGTCAATCTACCACCTCCGCCACCTCCAGGCCGCCGCGGAGTATATAACACCGTCAAAAGAAAAGACGAAGGTCACGGCAATCTTGCGACTTTAGGAGGACGTCCACGGTCAGTGGAGGACCTGCCAGAAAGACTCGTAGGTGTAAGGAGGCGGCGTGAAACATCCACAGCGACACGAATCTACAAGCGTGATGCTCAAGAGATGACCGATGTGAATACAAGTAGAATAATCCAAGTGGTCGCCCCGGGTGATGTTAATTTCGCATTGAATAATGCATCAGGCAACGAGACAGTGGTTATACAGTCTCCAGCTACCGATCCGGAGACGATATGTATGTCAGTGCCGTCGTTCGTAGCTGGTCTGGTGATGTTATTATTAGTGCTGGTGGTATCATCCCTGGTCGCTGCGTTCCTTTTCGTGCGTATTCGAGCGCTCGATAGGAAAGGTTCACATGGAGCTGCGGCGTACTATGAAACGGATTACGTGAAGCACACAAATTAGACGCGGAGCGTGCACGTGTGACGCGAGGACGTTACATAAACTCTTCTCGGATCCAAAGATCAAAAGATCTTCGGCCCCGGCCGGACGGCGTCGATGCTGTCGCGGTCGCGATCGAAGCAAGGTGACATGTGACTTTATTTATTTAGTGAGTGTGATGTATATGTTCGACTGTTGTTTTGTAAATTATTTTATTCGTGTGAAAAGCACCTGTACTGCCTTTATAGTCGATACGTCTGTTGTAATTTTGTAAAGAGTCGTAAGTAAGGTTATAGAGATAAGGAAGATGTATACCAATTAAAAGTGTCGCGTGAGTAAAACTTTGTTTTCACTGAATTCAAGAATATCCTAAAAAGTCGTGAACCAAGCCATATAGCTTTGTGTCTGACAGATATTATCTCGAATGCTTAACTCAATTTTAAATCATCAAAGCACTACACGATAAGCAAAAGTGTGAGAAACATTAAGACATTGTATAAAATGTGTAACAAACAAGAAAACTTCTATTATTCTCTCACGTTTCAGTTGAAATATGGTTCATGGGACTAAAAGTGGTGGTATTATTAGCAATTAAACTCTCTTGTTTCAACTTAAGTACATACTACGGCATGTAGCTCAGGTACCTAGTTAGATAAAGCATTCTAAAAAAAAAACAATGTATTATATTATTCAAATTAATAGTGTATTTGTAAGTACAATATTATTATCTAAGACTTAATGAATAAAAAATAAATATACATAATAACAAAAATGAAACGCACGTAAACGATTAGCGAAAATAAGTTGAACGAATAAGCAAGTTAACGAATTTCGCCTACCTTATATTTAATAGTCTGCAAAGACAATGTAAGTTAACGTTAGGTGATTGAAATCTTCATTGAGAGATACGTTAAGGTGTGTGTATCCATGTTTCACCTCCATGGCGGCATTTTCTTGATGGCGTCTGCAGTTCTACCGACCAATGAGAAGCCAGTATGCAACAGGTTCATTATTGACGGGCTTTCATCTCTAGGGGGACTCTTGTACAATAATTTCAATTCCTTCTCGTTTCTTTTCGCAATGATGTCGACGAGGTCCTTAAAAAAATTAAGACAAGAACTAATATTTTGAATAATATATGACGGCATTAAAACTCAGAATCATTAAAATAATCCATGGTTATTCTCGGAAACTTGAACATCTGGTTCGATACATTCCTCATCATTGTTTTTAAAAAATAATGAATGCAGATTGATATTTTTTTAATTTTAAAGTCTATAAAGAGTCTGATATCGTAAAAGACACTGATGTCGCTGATTTAAAAAAAAAATTTAATGCAAAAACCGGTCATTGATCTCCGTGTACTGTACAGGTGTAATATCAAAAGTAGCAATAAGCATAAGCAACTATAGCCATGTTGTTCTACATGGTTAGCAGGTTAAAAACTTAAAGCGAAAGCATATGATTCACTTCACTATAACAAACAAAATAATAAATTTTGTGCATTTTTTCCTGTACAATGTCATGAAATATTATTCCAAGTACTTTTTATTCGATGACAACATTATAACAAAACCTCTACAGAACAACTTTAATGAGGAAGTATTTAAAAAAAAATAGTTCCAGAAATCAAACTAGATGTCGCTACGGTATGTTCTTGATTTCTCCATGACGACCCTTCCGGTTTTCTTTCAAGTTTAAAAGTAAATTAGTTTTCATAACTCAATCAACAACTCACATTCTATTTGTACTTTTTCGTATTTGTATTGATATCTAAGTTTCGAACTTTTCAAATTTCAATTTTTTAATATGTTAGTTAAAAGGAACAGAAATGACTGTTTTTGGTACAGTCGTTTCCTGCAAAAATCAATTTTTGCTAGAGTCGCAATATAGTGGAGGTGCTTTTTTAGTGCATTCGTTTTTTTTTTTAAATACTTCCTCATTATAAAATGGTAATGTTTCAAATGTCAATTAATTACTTACATCTTGAAATAATTTTGGGGGTCGATTTAGCTGCCGTTTGCTTTGTTTCTTAGTTACTGTATGGGGACAACGGGAACACAAAGCCGTGACTGATTGCTTCCGATGTACAGCTTCTTGGTGAACTCTTAAATTCTGACGAATAAATTACGATAAAATTTACAAAAAAAAAATATCATATCGTGAACACAGACAATTTACATAATAAGAACAATACTTTTGAGGCGTTCAAAGTAACCCCCCCGCTCCACCCCCTCCTCTCCATGTCAGTGAAAATAAGCAAAACTGTAAGCTCAAGGAAGTTATCAGTTGCTGGTTAAGGTAAAATTAAAGAGTAGGAGCCAAACAACGATATTTTAAAAACAGTGTAGAAAATATAACTTTCTATATTAAACCGACCGTAAATCGAACCCGGGACCTCAGAGATGGCGACACTTTGAATCCGGAGTGTGAACCACTCTCCTATGGAGGTCATCAATATTTCAATGACTACAAAAACTTTTTGTCAATTGGCTAGTTGACAATTATTACAATGTATGAATACGTCGTTTCAGATACTGCATAATACACCCCTTATTTTATTTTATTTTATTAGCATTTTAGTATTTAGCTACTCATCTTGGAATCAGTATATGTGATGTTGCGTAACGTTTATTTATTTATGTTGGAAATGATAACCTAACATATATGTAAACAATTTTTATTAAATTGTATTTTTGCAAAATTAATTTGTGAGTTCGTATCTGTGAATTATAAGAACCGAAACACGGGCGGCCATAACGGTGCATCGTGTGACGTCACATTTTAATAAATAAACGTCATCGTCTTTGTGGAGATTGCAAACAGTACTCATGTTTAAAGAATTGTGACGTCACGGTTTGAAATATATTTTTCCTATATCTAATAACACCTTTTAGAACAAAATAAATATTATATTTTAAAGGTTTAATATTATATTTTTATTCAAATAGCCAGTTGCGTTAGTTTAAAATAAAGATTAAATTCTCCTCACGTGTGGATCATGTAATGCTGACCGCTGCTTGTTTTGTTGCACTCTCGATGATGTTTTATTGACGTTGATATTAAGAAAAGCTGCAGCCGGCGGCGCCGCTAGAACAGCATCTCGAAAAGCACTGCAGCCGACGCCTTGATTGGGAAACTAAAATAAAGATAAAAACACAGAAATTAAAGAATATAGGAAAAAAATATTATAAACTGTAAAAGAAAAGACTTAGGGATCACAATTGCAGCTTCATTGTTTTGTCTATGCCTATGTCATAATCATAATCACACGAAAGAAGATAATAATTATATTATAATTGAAAGTCTACATTCGGATCGTTATGTACTAAAATCCTCACCCTTGGCTGCTGTTGTCTGCCCCGTGATTCACTTTGTTTCGACAATACAACGGTGGCGGCACTGTTCTTCAGCGTAGGATGCGGAATATATTTATCGGTCTCAGGAATCCGTGTTAAATGTTGATGATTGAACTTTAAAGATAAGATATACCACATTACAGAGTTTTAATAGAAAGGTTGAATTTGAAAACATAAGCAACGTCAAGAGGAGCTCCATGAAGCAATGATGATGAATGACCAATGGGTCTGTAATGAGAAAGTTAACAGACTTTCGCAAAGGCTGGTCATAGGGTGAGATTTTCGCAAAGGCCGGTCATAGAATAGTGATCAAAAATTTAGTATCTCGAGCTCCTCCGTGGCACGTTAAAGCCATTAGTCCCGCCCACATCTACAGTCGTTAATAAGCAGCATTATGGAAAGAATGTGTCTATGCAATACAATTCGATCCATAGGAAAGTGCCCCAGAAGTGAAGACATCCATAGGCTGGTGATAAAGATAATAAGTAACTTATTAAGGTATTAGAAGCAGCGATACGTGATGGGTTTTGTTTTGCACATTGTAATTTAGAGAAAATACCTCATATTAGTATCTTACATGTTTGGTAGAATGACAAGAAGTCAGGTCGATAGCCGGTCGCCGCTTGACCTTAATTCTTGGTGAAGATGGAGGAAAACTGTACGTGTGACAAAGGCGTGGAACACGACCTCGCGACGTATGATGGGGTAGGTCGATCTCGTGCTTTGCATGCTTCTCCATATTACGATTGCGACACGGATTCTGAAATATGAATTATGGCCCATTCCTCAAATTCCATTCTAAGTATTGAGGACATTAATAGCTTGGTGATGATGAACTAAGAGTAATAAATAAATCTGTCTTTATTCAGAATTCAAGAAATTAATATCTAAATATCAGTAACTAATCTGTTGTAATAAATAATTCTCTCAATGTATAATTTGAAAATGTTACATTTGGGCAGAATTTTGCGCAAATCATAAATAGATCAGACAAATACATGGTCACTAACAGCGGGGTGCTAGGGTTCAATTGGCCATTAAAAAACCTCGCTGTCTGGTTATCCGGCTGAACAAGCGAAAGAGTAGTGGTTTTCGAGGGGATCGAGAAACTATTGTCTTAATTATACGTTTTTTTGTTATTCCAAGATGTTTTTTTTAAGTCTCACACTCGATAGTTTTATGATTACGGAATACAGGTTTTTGTCGTCCGACGACCCGTCCATATAGGCAAACTAGGCAACTGCCTAGGGTGCTTGTATTTGGGAGGCAGCAAACAGATTATGTTTGCTCTAATTTATTTAAATCTTCACTATTTTCAGACTCTGTTAGTCTGAAAATTTTGTACCTAAAGAGTTTCTTTGTCATTGGCAAAATTATCGTATAATACATTAGTCTTTTTTTATTGTGATGTTTTAAGGGCGCCAAATAACAGTGTTTTTTTTCCCAGGGCACAAAGTTACATTAAGCCAGCGCTGGTATTATAAAAACTTTGCATCAGAAAAAGCACAAGATACTCGCAACTCTACTCACATGTTATAGTTACCTACAAGTTTAGTTTTATATTTTATATATATGTTAATAATATATTTAGACGCACATGTACCTCCCTAAAATCATCCTGGTATTGTATGAAATCGATTACCTGATTCGGGCTGTGATGTCTTGCTGGCGATGAACGCTGTTGGTATGATAGCGTTGGCGGCTTGGAAGACGGCGCTTTCGATGCTATTTGCTGCGTTGAACAATAACGAGCAGAGTTCACATACGGACGCCGTCGAGGCTAAATAAAATATATTCGTGATCATCATAATAACATATTAAGGGGAAGCGTTAAGCACGAAAACGCCTATTTATCTCATCCGGAAAAGAGATACATAGACGATGAAATAACGATAGTTAATTCTTAGATTTTGCATAATTACTGTTTTTTGACAAGAATCCACTTTAAAAACACAATTTTCCTTGGCACACTGAGATGGGTCTCAAACATTTCGCATTTTCGACGGCTCTTTTTTCAGGCATATGTTACTTTTTCGCTTGTGTGCTTGAAAAATTCGTCAGTCCTGTTAGGTCCTGAGTAGCTCAGTGGTTAGAGCAGTCGCCCGGATTAAAAATATTTTTTTGTCTCTAACTGTTTTTAATTAATTACTTGAAAACAATTACCATTATGCTGCATAAAGACCTCGGCTACAAAGGTCAATCGTCCTTATTTGGAATAAACTTACGGTTGTCAAAAGTCAACGTAAATAAGTGACTAACAAAAAGTATAAAACATTACGAATTTCAGGAATAAGTATGCCTTTTTTCTACTGAGGAGATTTTATAAATTAACATTTTGGTTCTAACAGAATCGTCAGAAATATGAGATTTTAATATTTAATTATTGCTTTTTAGAATGTTGTATGAATGTTGTCATTCATTCATTCATTCATTAATATTCTAAATACGACTGGCAATAGATTCCGGGGCCTTAAAGATGTCAACCCCTTAGAACCGGCGTGCGAGCTATTCGGACACATAGGTAATCAATTGTTACAATCACATATTGTAGAACACTAACGTTCACGTAATAGCTCGGGCTAGGAGTAGCTCGTACGTGACGTAGTAAATACGAGCCGAGGCCAGTGATCACTGTTGTTAAGTAACTTTCGCAAAGGTCAGTCATGGGATGGGTGAACAAAAAAAATTATCTCGAGCACCTCGATGCTTCGGAAGGCATGTTAAGCCATTGGTCCCGACTGCATTTGCAGTCGTTACTACCCTCTAATCGGGATTGCGCCAGAGTGGATACATAAAGAACGCCTGAGCCCCTGCAATATTTCAATAGCAGCTTTTTGTGATAGTTCTTGTAACTGAACTAAAAAAGTCTGTTATCATTGATTCATCAAGACGAAATTGTGATAATAACATTAGATGTCAGGTAGATAATGCAATGTAATACATCATTGAATTATCAGAAGACAATCGTACATTTGCAAAAGGCAAAATGTTCGAAAAAAGTTTGTTAACTATTTCTTTGTGCTGCCATTTAGACCGAGCTTTAATGTTCCCTATAAGGATAAGTTAACGGAAATAATGCGAAGTGTACACGATCAACGCGGATTGGTGAACGTCTGCACATGCGCCCGGTACGAGGAAAAGCTTGGGGATAGCACGCCAATTTTTTAAAATGTTTACCTACGTAAAAATCACATCTCAAAAGAATCTCAACTACTTACATTTTACTATTGTACGATCTTCCTAAAGTCCAATATTATTAGTGCTATGTCTTCCTCACACATCAACAGTGACAGTATTTATCTGTATGTATTAGATTTATTATTATTACTTAAATATTGGCAATATTGGACTGTAGGTGACCAAGAATTTATTATCTCGAGCTACGAATTGCTCGTACATCGCGGGCAGCACCTGGGTCGATGTGGGAGCAGCCGGTAGCTACATGCGGCGGGGTTTGGTGGTCGCCGCTCGCGGGCCCTGCGCCTGCGCCGCTGTGGACGTGCACTTTTATATTGTTGCGCACTAGATGCGGCTTTATCTCTTCAAACCACACGTCACACAGCTGGAAATATATGTATAAGTTTAAAAGTGAAATATATTTAATAAATATTTTAGGTCTATAAATATAAATAACTATCTGTTCTCCCTCGACTTCGCTCGCGTAAATTATAGCCTATGTCATACGCGTATAGTCAATTTTCCAGTAGATGAAAGTATTTTTCAAATCGGCCAAGTAGTTTCAGAGCCAGTTCAATGCAATTTATAATATAAGTATAGTTTTATTATTATTCTATGCGTAGAAAAAGCAATTTTCGCAAGGGCGGATCCATAGGATGGGTTACCAAAAATTTATTATCACGGCACGTTAATCTCTTGATTGACCAAGAATGCCCTTTTTATCCCTTTTTGACTCCATCCATAGTAATTCCTCTGGCCCAGAACTGAGGACATTATTAGGCTGACAATGACAACGATTTTAATGCGTGAATAGTTAATTTTCAAACGAAAATTGAAATATAATTGATTCAGATTCAGATAAAATTCCTAAAAAAATTTTTAGGGTTTCAATGATTAATGAATGATCTTTCTAGAAAGCTTTTATTATTTTGTTCTTCTGTTTCTAGTAAATGTAGGTTATTAATATTGCACGAAAGAATTACTTTGTAACTAATGAAATATTATCTGGCGCTTACTCCGACAAGTGCATTTTCCAAATCATTACGAAGACTCTTTGGTATTTTACTCTTGCTTTTGCTCCTTTGTTTGGATTGAACATTAGAAGGTATAGTATTTCCAGCATTGTCACCAGCCGATTGATATTTTTTATCGGAATTCTGTGGATTTTTTTGAAATATATATTGATATTGACTATTGCGGCAGGAAATCAAATATCAAATCAAATACGTAATTAGTAGGTCAAGGGTTAAAAACCCAAATCAGCTTTCTTATCAATTTGGGCGTTTCAAATTTGAATAAAACATATTCTAAGCTGTTTAAATAATGACGGAAAAATCGCCTTAACTAATTAAATTTAAACTTTTCGTACATGCAACCTCCTCCTTTTTAAAGTAAAATGAAACTCGGAGATCTCAAGGAATTAGAACTAAAGCAGTTGCTACTGTTGACTTACTTAACATGACTTATAAGCTTAACGCCTACATTAAAGACTCTATGTAAGTATACAGAGGCAGATTTGCAGGCGTAACCGCCCTAGTATTAACCGCACCTATTTTGGCTCTTATAATTTAGGCACTTTTATATCATGAGCATATTTTATACCTCTAATATCTGCCAACTGTGCCTAAGGAGAAATGTGTGATGTATGTAAACGATGTCTTTGACCTACGTTCCATTTGCAAGCGCGTTGCAAAAATTTGCAAAAGTTGGTGTTATGTGTCTTTATGAAGAAACCTCGTAACCTTCATAGTGAGACATTGATCTCCCGAAGCTTTGGTGGTGGCTCTCCCCTGTGCCATCTGTTCCGCACCTGCGGATTTCCGTGACCGCTGTTGGGACATAATCACAATATCAACACAACATTTCACACGTAAAGTATCTATAAAAATAGTAAAAAATATCGTTTGATTAATAATGTCAAAACACCTTCAACTGTTCTGTCATATATTGACAAACAGTAGTCTCTGAATCAACAATCAAGTATATCAAAATGTTCCTAGCTCGGTATGATAAAATCTTGACTAAATAAATAAAGTCGAGCAAAAATTATTTCTTACACTAAAAAAATGGTTTGAGACTATTTTTATATTCTATTCTAGCGCAGGTAATTACCGAGTCAATGAGCAAAATGTAAAATACTTAAAGTAAAAAAAATATATCTATACTAATTCCGCGATCGTGACGTATATCTAGGCAACAGTGGCATTAGCTCAACTGTAAAGGTCCGACTACACTGCGGTTAAAAACGCAAGTCTGAAACCGCAAAACCTACATATAGCCTTCTATACAACGGCACGTATGCATTAGCTGAAAACGCGATTCGCATACGTTGCGGCTCACGTTTTATTGCTATAACTAAATCGAGTGCGTTTAAACACCGTGCAGTCTTAGCCAAAGTCCACTGTAAGATTTTACGCCGTGACTATATTTACCGTAACAAAAGAATAAATAATGAAGTTGGTTAAAAATCATAGTAAACCTATCTGCTAAGAAAACCAATATAGATATACCGAAAAGAACCATAGAGTAAGTAAGAAACTACCGATTGTATGTAATGAAAAGAATGGAACAAAACGTTTTGCGTTTAATTTCGTGATTTTTGTGTCTACCCGCAAATGATGTTACAAACTTATTTCTAAAACACCTTTTATTTGAAATTACAAACAGTTATCATTAATGTTCTCATAATAATCAGAACAGAAATAACATTATCCACAAAAAATATTCGAAATACAACGGCAAAATATGGAAACAATCAACTGGAAGAATACTTTATTTATTGGTGGAACATTTTTGTGCGCTTTGGCGTATAAAATCTTAAGAAGCAAAAAGGATAACATGTTAGATTCCAGTATCAACGAAGTATTGTTCTATGGAGCTCAAGAAGAATCCAAAAGAAAAGAGATAGGATTAGATAACCTATTCTGTATATATTACGTTATAGCCCATGCGTCACGAACAGTAGACGTGTGTGTGCCGAGTCTCGAGAGTGAAACTATCACTAAATGCCTGTTAAGAGTCCACCGAAAGGACAATATGCAAGTAAGAGTAGCTGTACATAAGAGCAATCAGCTAGACAACTTAATGCTACTAATTGATCAAGGCATAGAAGTAAAAGTTGTGGAGTCCACTGAACCAATAGAACACGAGTTTATATTAATTGACGCCTCTGAAAACTTGGACGTTGGGATGGCTATTATTGGCTCATTGGATTATGAAACAACACGGGTCAACTGCAACAGAGACACTACATTTTTGACCTCAAAGCCATGTGTTGTGAGCATTCTAAAGAAGGAATTCGATAGAATCTGGCATGAAACACCAGAGACAATTCGCAGAGCAATAGAATTGGACCAAGAGGAATGAATTGAATATTGAATTAGTTGTGAAATATATTAAATTGTTTTTATATAATTACGAATATTATTGGTATTAGAAATAAAAGTATCATGATAACAAAAATACTTGGATTTTATTTCATTTGTCTACTTACGATTTAAAGCAAAATTACATCAATTGTATTATTTTACATTACATTTATTTGTACTCGGAATATTTTAGTCTATATCAACACGACAACCTATGCCAGTACAGAAATATGCAACAATCAATGGTGATTCTTTATCACAGTTCTTTGACATTTTTTAATAATATTATTTTTTTTTTTATTTCAAATGGCATTAGTTAGATACGTGAAATGTTTTCCTATAATGAAAAGTTTCTTATATGATATGCAAATTATAATAACATCATTTTCACTACTAGTTGAAATTGAAACATACAGAAATTTTAAGGTAATCTGAACAGGAAGTAAAAAAAATTCTCTATTTTTAAGGAGTCACACTAATACTCTTAGGAACGGTAATAGGCAATATTTATATCAAACATTAGCTACTCAATGCGAAATCGCAGTAGTAGCTACATAGATAATGCACCGAATTGTGGCTACTACATTTATATAAGATCAATTTTAATAAATCCTTTATTTTTTTCGAATTTCAGATGTTAAACCAATGTTGCTGGATACTAATCCGAATGCATGCGGAATATAAATACATAAAATAAATAAATAATTCAGATTCCAAATTAAGGAGGTTTTAGCAATTGTATAAAGAGAATAAAACAGTCAGACCCGAGAAAAAGAAGTTAATTTTCCTACATTGACCCGAACTGGAATCAAATCCTGATCCTCAGATGGAGATGGATTGAAACCAGTATTCGAGTCATTCTGCCACGGAGGTTCCATGCGAAATATAACGATTAAACGCAGCATTTTAAGTTCAGATATGGAACTAAAACACTGAACTTTTGTGTGTGCTGAGACTCAATTAAATTAAGACGCCTTCAGCAAAGATATAAAAATGCTAATTTGTTATATAGGGGTGAAAATGATCTATAAATATATTTTTATGGTAATAAAATAATAATTCTTCTATACAAAACTTGTATGTGAATTATTTTTCACATCTATAAATATATAGGTTGACAAATTAAAATCTAAGTACATTGGAAACTCATTATTAAGTATGCTTAATGACTTTTTGATATTCAATATTTAAAAAAATATCTATGAACTCTTAATCATTGTGATCTTGATACATATGTTGATTTTAGTGGAAAATAAATTATTTTAAATAAACACATATATTTATATATGGAACTGCTACTATATGTATACAATTAAAGACCAAAGATTATATAAAATAACACTTAAAGGCTTAACATTCGAGTAGAGTAATTCATTAGAACAGAGAAGTCGATATTTGATTAACCTATAAATTTAATACTTTTTAGTAAAATTATCAATTTACTCATTTTTAGTAAATGTGAAATTATACTCCCAAACTGAACTACGAAAATACGCACAAATTTTAGTATACAATAAAATTTGCAAGTTTTATCATATAAAAACTAGAGTGTCTAGTTTGATCTCTCTATGTAAAGTCTCCATGAGAAATCAAATGGGATTATAGTCGATACTAAAACGTTCGACATTTAAAAGCACACTTTGATACATATTGCAGTCGAGTACTTATGAAATAATATAAAAACTGCATTTCAATATACTGAATTATGCTTATTCAATATCTAAATGGAAACAGAATTGTGTAATTAATAATTATTAAACATTTAACAATAATAGACATAAATAATTCAGCACAAAATGCTTATTCAAAAGTAAAACTTATCACTAACAGTTTTACACACATGTGACTAGTGGCCTATGAATCAGTATTATGTCCATCTGTAATGTCATTTTTATAACAGGCAATGTGTCCTAGTCACTGGTGACACAAATTTGATGTCATACATCGACATCAATGTCACTAGTGTTGTCGTGGTGTTCGGACTGTGGAGACATAGTATCATCGGGTGCTTCATGTGGAGACGCTAGTGTGTATTCATGAGGTGAGCTTAGATCATCTTCTGGTGAACCAGGCAAATCCTCATCCATCATTATTGTGGCAGGAAGTGACGGTGATACTTCTTGTAATTGACTTGAATATACTGTAATTGGAATTAAATAACATTCAACTTATAGAAAAAATATCAATACAGCATTGTAAATACAAAGTTTATCAAATAATATAGAAAAAAAAAATCATATTTGGGTGGAAAACAAATTAAAAAATGTTTTAAAAGATAATTCTCTTTGATTATGTACACCACTCTCTATGTTAAACAGACCTTACTATTTCCTTCTTCAATTTAAAAATAAACAAATTCAATTCTACAAGACCTCCAATGTGTTATTTTGTAGTAATCACAACTCCAACAAACTCATTAATTTGAATAGTCAAATCTTAGAGCAAAATAGATATTAATATAAAATACCTTTAATATTTGACGATTTGAGATCTGCGCAGAAGTTGAGTGATTCCTCCATAGCTTCTATGGTAAGCGTATCTGTATCTAGGCTATCCATAGAACCTGAACATGATGGTGAAGTATCTGGGTTTGTGTTCAATGTTAACTGTATACTGTCCAATTGGGGAATGTGAGGTCTAACCTGGAATTGTTAGAATGAAATATTATTCCTATTGTTTATAATATAGAGAGTAGCCCCTCTGGAAGTATAAATAAATAAATATTACACAATATCATATGAGTAGGTCGGTGGCGTAGTGGATAAGCGCCGCGGCCCGCGATCGTTGTCGTTAAGCAACTTTCGTAAGGGTCGGTCACAGGATGGGTGACCAAAAAATTATTATCTCAAGCTACTCCGTGCTTCGGAAGGCACGTTAAGCCGTTGGTCCCGGCTGCATTTGCAGTCGTTAATACCCTCTAATCCGCATTGGGCCCGTGTGGAGGGTCATGGCCCATCCTCCTTAACCATCCATAAGGAGCTCCTGCAGTGGGGACGTAAAAGGGCTGATGATGACACAATATCATACATTGTTCAGATTCCAAGATGAGTAGTCAATGCCCCTGTATTATGGAGTATCTGAGACAACGAAAGTAACACAACACCCAGACCCGATACAATATAGAAAAGTTCATTTTCTACATTGACCCGACCGGGGATCGAACCCGGGACCTCTGAGATGGCGACACCTTGAAACCGGCGTGCGAACCAATCGGCTACAGAGGTCGTCAATTTGTTGTATTATTATATCAAGTTTCTGAGTGTTTTAGTAGACTCACTAAGCAGTTGCTCTCAGCTGTAACGGTAGTTGTTAAAACTCACCGCATGTGATGGAATGTTATGAACAATTTCCTATTGGATTTCATCCATAGGGAAGACCTGTACTACTAAACAGGAAAGTAAAAGACTGATGATGTTTTCATACCTTCATGCCATCGGGTCGATGTGGATTTCTACACCCTTTACATTTACATTCAGTACATGGTTTACTGTCAACATAACATGGACATCTCTGACCGCAACATGTGAGTTTCCCTGGTGTTGCAGTTGCGTTTCCACAACGACAACCTTTTCTTTTGCTGCTGGCAGAGTTTCGAGACCTGTTTGATGGCTTTTTGAAACCCAAGCCTGACTGTAATTAAAAAATTAACTTTACATAATTGAATTCCAAATATAAAATAGTGAAAGGAATCATATGTTACCTTGCCCTCTCTACCACTTGATTCCCCCTGTGAAGTTGAGTCTGTATCATCTACAGCTTTTCTTTTTATTGTTATTTTATTGCCAGAGCCTGCATACATAACGGAATAGAGTGGCGATCCATTGGACACAGACCTAGAGTTTGGAGAATCTTTATTGGATGACCGAGTCTCAGAGTTACTAGACGATGATGCACCTTGGGTCTGCGTTGATGCTGAATTTGTGTAAACACACGGTAATATACTGTATGCTGATTTAGAAAGTCCCGCTGTACTCTTATAGTCATCAGAAAACCCTGCGCCTTCCTGAATCAAATCTATTAATCCAGAACTAGCCACTGTGCCTCCATTTACTCCCGCGGCTATTTCATCTTCTTCTAATAAAGTTTTGTACACATCAGTACCCATAAAATATTCACAAAGCTTTTTGTAACACTGTAATAGTATTCGTAACTGCAAATTCTCAGCATACAGGTCGTAATCTTTACACCAACTACATGACGGTTTTAGTTTCTTTCTTCCACCTTTACATTTCTTGCAAACGTGATGTTGGCAACTTGTTGGTGTATAAGGCTCCTTTAATAAGTTACCACAAACGGTACAAGATAAAGATTGGCGTAAGTATGGAACTAATCGAAAAAGATCCGTCCATGAAGATTTGTCTGCCGCATCAGCCAGGATAATTAACCGACATGTTGATACATATAAACTAGTTGCGTTCATTTTCATTTGTGAAACGTGTTTCTTACTTTAAGCTTACAATGAAAATTCTAATGTTTACAACAAAATATTAAACAGCGAAAAAAGCCGCAAACGTTTCATTCTTGTCAAAATTGCCAAACAATTTCTTCAAACGTCACTGTCAATATTATTTTTTTAAATAATTCAGGCAACGTGATCTTATCCAAACAGTCCAGTCTTTGGTAGGATGATACAGAATACAGAAGAAAAAGGAAAAGATTATCCATCCATCCCATGAATGTTTCTTCAGAAATTGAACTTACAATTTTATACATCCGTCTTTTTTTTTTTTCAAAATTAATTAAGTCTGATTTTTTCCAGTAAAATAAAATATTGTGTGGATATAAGTTCACAAAAGGAGACCATCGACATCTTTCATTTATTTCATTTTACATGTAGGAATTAATTTATTCTTAAATTAATTTATTCTGAAATATTGTGTGTGTGTGTTGAATACTTCTCGTTAGTTTCATTTCGTTGAGTCTCCACAATTATTATACGCCAAATCGATTTGAATCGATACAAAGATACCTTTATTTGCAAAATGAATCAACATGCATTATTTTAAATTACCTATGGAATCAATAAACTTATTGAGTAGAGTCTGGCAAGCGAAACGTGTCACAAGAAAAGGGCGGCAATTTCAAAAATTCTTAAGCAGTAAACACTGAATGTAGTACTGCAAAATAATTTTGATACTTTTATTAATTATATTTAATCTTAACATTTAGATATCAATTAAAATTATTTGTTTTGGAACATTTGACTAAAGCGTGACTGTTCTTAATTGTACAGTTAACAGCATATCAGTAGGCCTATTCACTAACTCAACTGACAACCAAAAATCGTCATCACCGTAAAAAATAGACACTTTGATTGTGTCAAAATCACTATTTCGTATTCTCTATCAATGATGAGCAATTTCGAAATGTCAATATCGGCATTCTCCACTGGACTCCATTTTGACACTTGATTTCGTATCGATAAACTGTATTAAAGTAACATTGTTGCAAAGCATATTTGAAGTCGTCGCATAGTACCTCTTAAGCCATTTGTTGTTAAATTAAAGCGAAAAAAAATACGTATCCAATATTTTTCTATTATCTGACTGACGGACTAAATCGAATCTTTTTTTTAACCCATTCGTTATACCTATTGGCTAACAGCACTTATAATATTAAAAATTCATATTTGTCATTAATTAAAAGGGTGTTTTTTGCAACGACTTCTTTGTTTTTTTGTAATGAATATGGGCGACTCTGGCCACATTTTTTTTAATAAATGTGATGTTAGCCAATTTTGATTTCTGGCCCTTATATTTATAATGTGTTCATAACACATACATGTCTCCTAAGGGATTTTCATCACAACCTTTTGCTCTGATCCAGAACCACTATCTATCAAATTAAATTAGTCAATATAAACACCAGATTACAATAAAAAAAACATTTATTTTTGTTACAATTAAGTGCCATGGATAAATTACATAATACAGGTGTCACAAAATCATCATGTTAATCACAATAGAAAATTTAAGATAAGATTTTGACTATGAATCAGACTAAAAATACTTTAGTCTGATTCATAGTCAAAATCTGTTTCTAAATATTCTACACCTGATAACAATGACAAGGAATCATCAGAGTCACTCTCTTCACTACTGTCTGCACCAACAGATATAATAAATTTTTCAAGTTCGTTTTCAACAATGCCATCTTTTAATTTGTAATCATTTTCGACATTTAAAACATGATCAGTGTATTTCTTCCAGTCACTAGGGGTAATTAAGTTAAAACACTCTATTATTAAGTTTTCCATTTCCTTTCCTGGTATTCCAATGTTTCTGCTTGCAATTTTTCTTTTTGCTTGACTCCAAACCATCTCTATTGGGTTTAAGTCACAATGATACGGTGGCAGCAATAAAATTTTCATGATTATGTTCTTTTAAAATCTCTTCAGCTTCATATACAGGCAATGTTTTCTTATCATTAACCAAACACATTAACTCTGCCTTTGTCTGATATTCCTCAAAATGTATTCCATTATTTACAAGCCATTTACGGATATCTGCTTTGGTATTAGACATTATAGGCGGTTTATTGATTTGTTTTATATGGTAGCTGGCATTATCCATAACAATTACACTGGGCTTACTTAAATTTGGTATTAATTTTTCTCTGACCCATTTCATAAAGTTCGATGAGTTCATATCATCATGATAATCAGCAGATTTGGATTTACTACTGAACACTAATAATGCACCAGGCACAAAACCTTCCTCAGATCCAGCATGCACAACAATATGCCGTTTTCCAGAGGATATCTTTGTAGTGACACCAGTTGTTGAAGGTCCTTGCCAAGACTTTTTAACTTTATAATTCTGATGTACATAAGTTTCATCAAAGTACACAATTTGCTTTCCTTCGTTTCGTTTTATATTTATTTCTCTCAAATACTTGTGCCTCCATGCAGAAATCTGGTATTTTTCTATAAGCATAGAACGTTCATTTTCATTGCTTTTAAAAGAAAATCCATTCTTAAGCATAATTTTTCGTAAAGTCTCACGGCTACCACTGAATCCTATTGCATCTTTTAATTCATTGTGAAGGCTTCTTAATGTTGGAACAATTTTTTTCACACAGTAAAATTCATTTACTTTATTCCGAATTGCACTTAAATCAAAATTATCTAAAGCAGACACTGTTGGTTGATGAGGTCGTTTTTTCCCAGGAGTGTCCCATTTTCCTTTATTAATTAATGCTTCATTTTTTATCCTTCTTAGTGTCCTTATACTTACATCTATAAAAGATTAAACACTTTGAAACAAAGATATGTTAAATGTATTTAAAAGCAAATAATGATAGACACATACATCAAAATAATTTAAATACCTATTCAACTATGAATGCAATTTATGTTTAATTTAGTTAAGTTTATGTGCATATTTAGCATGTATAACAATTACATGGTTTGATTAGTTTCATGAATTCTGTGAATTTCCTTGTTAAACAAAACATTCTTATGACATCATTGGATGTCAACAATAAAAACCAATACATCATAAAAAACCTATGTAAATATTATAGGAATACTATCAATCTATCTTAAATCAAAACAAGAAAAGAGACCTGTCATTGAAGAAATTTTTTGTAAGTACTGCGTTTCCGAATTCAGCATTTCTTGTTTTTCTAAAGTTTTTATTGCATTTATCTCCTCCATTATTGGTTGAATATCACCATCACAGTTATCTGAAATAGAGCAATATTTTATAAAAAATATCTGTTTAGTTAATTACAGAAAATTAAAACGAAAGTATCAAAATTATAATACAAAACTAACCTAAAAAAGATACAACTTTATCTAATCGTTGTAATTTCTCCATGAAATTTTTATTTAATTCAGTTTTCACTTCAGTAAACTTGTCAATCATGATGGAAAGAAGTTTCCTCGATGAACTTTTTATCGGCTTCGACATAATTTTTAACCAAAAACACAAGTTCAAATTCGCAAAAACAACAAAATTCAATATTCTTGAATTGTCTAACGTAGTGTCAAACTGACAGTTCTATGTTGTTGCCATATGAAAACGGAAAAATAGGTGGTGTCACGTTTCGCTTGCCAAACTCTATTAACAGTTATGTCACAGATCAATCTGCCGCGTTTTTGCATTTAATTCAAATGCTATTGATAAATTATGTTTTATTTGCATTTAAAATTGAATTTAAAATCTCAAAGCGACTTATTCAAGAAACTGCTATTAAAATCGGGCAGAGGTCTTCTCTAGGTTTATTAATTAAATAATTGGCGCCCGACTTCAATAGCATTTTCTTTTTTTCTGTTTGTTATCTCATTACTTTTTAATGGATGGACCGATTTTGATGATTCTTTCTTTATTTGAAAGCTAGTGCTGGCTGTATGGTCTCATTTATAATTAATTTAGTCCAGATCTGGCAATGGCATATATGAAAAAAAACCATAAAAGTCTTTAATTTGCATTAAGTATGCGTGTTATTTATTAGTACCCCAAAACTCAAAATATCACTAAAATGCATGAAATAAAACTTAAAAAAAACTAAACTGATTTTGTCTTTATTTTTTTTTTATTTATTTGACTAACCAACATCTGTTTACATTCATATATAATATTGATATCATTCATTTTTTTTTCGTCATATAATTTTCTCTACCTCTTGTATTTTGTTGTATATGATAGTCACAATATAATGGGTTATGTTTTAATGTCTTCATATGGAAATATTTTTTATTTTATTTAAATACATTTTGTTTATGCAACACCATTGAATCAAGCCACCCAAAACCGCCTTCAGAAGATTTATACCTACAAAACCAGAAGTCCCCAAATAACTCAGTGCCCGCTAACAGAAACATGGTTCAGTTCAGCTATTCAACCATGTTTCTGATAGGGCTATGACATCATAATCAGTGCAAAAAATATTCATATAAAATTATTTCATTTTAGCTTTTAAGCCTATTTCATTTTGATTCGGGCGGTTAATATTTAATTAACTACCGAAAATCTCAGCCCGACTTCAATGTTTCTTAACAAATTTAACCGCTTTTAACATACTCGTAAGTATTAACTTGCACTTTTTTAAATTTATTTAGTTTTTATTTCATTATTTTTAGTAGTATTGATATTTTTATGTACTAGCATTACTCTAAAATTTTACGCGTGGTCTATACATGTTTATATGGATATCGATTCATATCATGACACGGATATAATTATAATGACAAATTGATTATTAAATAATCGTTACCATGCTAACGTTTTCATTCCCTGTACAAACTTCCACTCCCATTTTCATTCCTTTATTTGCTGTTTTTTCGGGTTAAAATATAGCCTATGTTCCAGGTAGGTGAAAGAATTTTTTAAATCGTTCCGATAGTTTCGGACGGAAGACTTATAAATCTGTCCAATAGTTTGAAGCCTTTTCTTTGCAAACAAACAAATAATCAAATCTTTCCTCTTTATAATATTAGTATAGATATCAATCTATATGAATAAAATTTTCAACATAGTGAAAGTCTTAAAAAAGAAGATTTTGTTTGCTTGACATTTTTTTCTTATAATTCTATACTTATAACATAA